AAGAATTTTTCACTATGTAACAAAAAACAAAATTTGTTTAATTTACTGTTTGTATTTTGAGAACGATTTCCGAAGTGGAAATTGAAACGTCAATAAACGTATTTTTATCTTTAATTGTGGCTTATTCCCAGTTTAATAGTAATTAATTCACAATGCCACAAGAAAATAGCTTCAGAACAATATTAAGAAACCGTTATGGGCCCAGCGTTATTCAAAATTTTAGGAGATTGGAAATTCTATACAAGAAACTGGAACACTGTCAAAATTCAATTAAATTTTTACGAAGATGTAGAGATAACAACCTAATACCAAAGGGATTGAAGTTACGTAAAGCATATTCAAGCAGAAGGTTGGAAAACATTCTACATAGAGCCAGTTTGTCCATGATCCGAGAAAGATTACAATATCATAGATCGAATTTATTTTTTGTTGAACAAGATATTGTAAGTATTGGAGATTTGCTTTTCAATGTGATATCAAATTCTGATTTTGATCAAATTATTTTTAGTTTACATATAGTATATGAAAATTCATATAGAAAACAAAGAAATATACATTTAAATAAATTTAATATTCTTTCAGAACAAAACAGTATACACACTTTAGATAACCTCAACAGAAATGATGACATTAGCGACAGTTGTCAATCTATCAAATAGACATTTAAATGCAACGGAGAATTTAATACTGTCAAAGGGTCTAAACTTTGCTATTACTCAGCCATCCGTTCCAAAATTAGACATAATAAGCTCAGTGGAGAAAATATCTCAATGCTTACCAACTCACGAAAAGGAAGAATACAGAGTGTTATGTAAACTTGAATTGGAAAAATCTACTAAAATTGAACAAAACATAAGCAAAGAGGAACTACAGACTATAAGAACTTTAAACAATGACGACTCCATAATCATCCTACCAGCAGACAAGGGGAATGCAACTGTGATAATGGATAAAATTCAATACGAAAATAAAATTAAAGATCTATTAATAAACGGACCTTATACAAAATTAACAAAAGATCCAACAAAGCCTTTGGAAAACAAAATATATAGAACTTTATTCAAGTTTAAAGATGTTTTAACAAGTTATCAGAGAGGATTAATTACACCTCATTACAGTAAGACTCCTCATTTTATTGGAGTACCGAAAATTTATAAAACGAATATACCATTTAGACCCATTTGTAGTACCACGAATTCTCCTTGTAGTGAACTATCAAAATTTTTATTAAATATTTTAAAACCATTTACAAATAAAAATGACACATTCATAAAAAATACACAACATTTTTTAAATAAATTATCAAATGTTGAATTTAATTCAAATCATACTTTGGTAAGTTTTGACATAAATAGTTTATTTACGAATGTGCCATTAAATAAGACTTTAAGTATAGACAAGACAAAATTAGAGAGTGATGATTCATTGGCAACTAGAACAAGACTAAACATATCGGCTATAATGGAGTTATTAACATTATGTACTGATAATACATATTTTCAACTAAATAATGAATTCTATAAACAAAATTTTGGTCTAGCAATGGGCTCTAGTTTATCTCCATTCTTAGCAGATATATTTATGGAAGATTTTGAAACAAATATCATTTCTAAACAAAATTTCAAACCCACAGTATGGTGGAGGTATGTAGATGATGTATTCTCAATATGGCCTCAAGGATCAGAGTTGTTGGACACATTCCTAAATGATGTAAACGATAAAGAAGAGACAATAACATTTACCATGGAAAGGGAATATAATAACACGCTACCTTTCCTGGATGTTTTAATCTCTAAGAACAATACTGGATATGAGACTCAGGTGTATAGAAAACCAACACACATCAATAGATATTTAAATTTCAAATCGAATCACAATATTAATGTAAAAAAGGGAATAATTAAATACTTATACGATAGAGCCAAAATTACTTGTTCTGACGAAAAATCGTTCTTGGAGGAAAAACATTTATTAACATCTGTTTTATTAAAAAATGATTATCCTTTATCGTTTATAAATAAGGAATTTTCAACAATCGATCGAATAGAACAGAACAACTTAGAACGAGATCCTACAGCATACACAAGGAATAATATGAGGAAAATAACAATACTGTACATAAAAGGATTATCAGAAAAACTTAAAAGGATAGGAAATAAATTCAACATTTCAACAACATTCAAAACAACAAACACGTTGAGATCTATTTTGTCCAAAACCAAACCTAAAAATGAACAAGAAAGGACAAAGAATTGCATTTATAAAATACCTTGTGAATGCGATCAGTTTTAATTAGGTGAATCATCAAGGCCATTAAATGTTAGAATAAGTGAACATCAATCCTATATTAAAAATAGAGAATTTGATAGATCTCAAATCTGTAAACACGCATGGGATAATGAACATAGGGTTCAATGGAATAATTCAAATGTAATCCTAAAAGAAGCGGATGGTAAAAAAAGAAAAATCAAAGAAGCGGCTCTAATTTTGCTAAATGAAGCCAATTGTGTCGCAAATTCCTCGGCAGAATGTAGTAGGATCTGGTTACCAATATTGAAAGAGGAAGTTATTAATAAGAAAATACCAGTATTAGTAAGTCAGTAACATATAGAGGATACATCATTTATGTTTTTTAAATAACGTAACATATAAAATCAGAATTTTGATGTTTGTTGAAGGTAAACTAAATTCACGAACAAATACTTACAATGTCGGGATAGTATTATGAGGTTTTTTCCTGATTTTTCCCTCATAATTTACGATGGAATCACTAACAGGAGAATTTTACTGTCATCATGTCATGTGTTTGTCTTTTTAAAGACAAATTACATGCTATGATTTTTGTCTGACGGATATTCTCAAGTTAAAGTATTTCATGTAATCAAATGAACTATCTTATAAGTAAAGTCGTCCCTGGAGCGCAACTCAACAATATTGGCAATATCATTTTAAAGTCGTCTACTTTAAAATGCATAATGTATGTCTGAATTGTCAATATAAATGAGTCAGATAAAATTAAATTATTAGAAGAATTTTTCACTATGTAACAAAAAACAAAATTTGTTTAATTTACTGTTTGTATTTTGAGAACGATTTCCGAAGTGGAAATTGAAACGTCAATAAACGTATTTTTATCTTTAATTGTGGCTTATTCCCAGTTTAATAGTAATTAATTCACAATGCCACAAGAAAATAGCTTCAGAACAATATTCCAAATATGTTATCGAAACAATTTTTACCAAGGTTTTTTTTTCTTAAATATAAAAAAATATGTACACATATATGACCGTTGGGTTCATACAACACTATATTAACATTAGTACATTTTACTTGTAATTGTATTAGAGGTAATAAAAAGAAACATTTTTCGCTAAATAGTGTTTATTCTAGAAAAAGTAATATGAAAAAGATTCTACAACGTCTGAATATTACAAAAAGTAGATTTATTTCGAATGAAATTTCAGACATTTTCAAATATGGCATTAAAAAATAATGTACACACATCTGTGGACAAATTTTTTTGATGACTGATAACTTTGCAGAAAGTAAAATTTAAATAAAACTATACAATCTATCTTGTAAATTTATCCTTAAAAAACGATATAACCAGATTTTTTTGTTCGATATCCAACTTTACAAGAAATTAAATACGATTTGCATCGTGAAGTATCCATTTTCTAAACGTCCTCAAAATACAAACTTTGCAGTTCAACTAATTGCCAGGTACTGGTACTGGTATCAATTTAAAATATTTCTTACATAAACAAGTAGACATGTGCTTCAAGAAACGATAGGTGGCACCAAATTGAAATTAAGAAACGTACAATGTAAAATATGAAGCAGTCAATAATTTTCGGACCGAAACTATTATTTCCGCTAAAAAACAAATTATCAGTTATCTAATATAGCTTAATTTCGAAATTGTAGACACTAAATTTAAAGAAATTGTGATGAGCATTCTGCTATATTCTTGGTCTTTTAGTATTGAAGAGTGAAAGGCAGCGCTTCTAGTATTGAAGAATTTTTATAAATTATATGTACTATTATTTTCTCCCTAGCGCTAAAAATTTCGGAACAAACATCTGGCATCGGCCTTATGCAACTTAACAATTTGGACATCAGTTTATATGGACTAACAAAAAATCAAAATAATTAAAGTTTATCAAAATCAAATTTACGCGTGAAAATGTGTAAAAGGTGAAACTATGGCATCAATTTTAAATTGTGTAGTAATCCCTCCTGGAATGTCTATATTTTAGATCCACAAGATCCGGTATTTTCAGATTTTTAATTAGCAATTTATGTAATTCATTATAAGTAAGCGGTTATAAAACCAATTATGTTGATGAGTTATCGTTAACAAAATTATCATGTACACATGTAGGACTTTAATAAGTAAATTTTTGCCAAAATAAATAGTTCGCCAAAAGACATTATCAGTAAACTGATGCAGTAAAAATATTTCTACAAGTTTGTTGTCGTTAGAATTTGTTTTATATGAATCGTTTTATAATATATGTTAGGCATATACGTTAGATCATTAACTAATGTGCGTTAGGTTTGACTAGTTTGTTCAAAACCGCCTTTAACAATTCAAAGAAACTATTAACATTACAAGAAGGAGATCTGTAGCAGTTTACAATACATACTGACTTTTTATTTAAAGAATATCTTTAACTAAAATACTATTAAAGGGGTATAAGGTTGAATGCTCGAATAAATGAATTTTAAGTATATCAAATTAAATACAGACATCGAGCATAGTTTTTAATAAATCTTGCCCAAGTACTGTCGCTCCTAGATCATCTTGAGGGGCATTTCATCAAAATTGGGCTATCCAACAACATATGGTGAATGTCATGAACTTCTCTTATGTGTATGATTTGGTCTATTGATAATATAATATTTAAATTACGCCTGTTAATTTTAAAAGTTTTTAGAAAACAATTTATTACCAGCTCTCTATGTGTGCAAATATTTCAAATTAAGACAAAACATACCTGCAAATTTTCTGGTTTTTCAGCCATATCTTCACTTATTTTCTCTTGCTCTCCTAATATTCTGGATTCATCAGGCGGTCCTTCAATTATATCTGGATTCATAACACCTTGATGAAGAATATGTTCAGATTGAGAGTCTCTTAATTCAGAATTTTGGTTATTGGTTGAACCAAGAATAGATGAGTCTTCATTTTGTCGAGTATTTTGTTCACGAAGCTAAAGACATAAAATAATTTTTAAATTTCAATACTAGCTGAGAAACGAAAAACATTACTTTTTATCTATTCGGTACGTGACAAATCCCCAAGTGAAACACAGTATAAACTACCTATTATAAACTATTCCTTAAATAGCCTACTATAGAAGACTTATAAAAGCTATGGAATACATAATAACAAACCATCAATAAGGGGTATTTCTTGTTTTTCACATGATATACAACAAATAATATAATACAGAATACCAAATCCAAGCCAAAATAAAAATGCAATGGCTTGGAATGACATCGATAAGTCAGCAAGCTTAAGCCTTCTTTATTTAAATATTATCATGGATGAAATAATAAAGAAATTACGAGGAAATTACAAACAAATGCAAACAAAAATATTAACATCAAAACTAAGTCAATAATCAATCATAAAGAAGATATATAATATATAATGCAGGAATGCACCGGAACCGTCAAAAATAAAAAGCCTAAAAAAAACAAAAATAAAGAAAACACTGCTCACACAATGGCTAGAAAGAGTGGTACATACTGAAATAAATATGTAACACTGGTCGGATGGCACAACTGTTACAAGAAAAATATTTATATCGTGTAGTTCATTCCCGTAGAGAGCTAATGTCAAAATTTCAGCCGAATCGGATTCCTAGTTTTCTTTTGACAGCGTGTGGAAGCTGACGTATACGCTGATTTTAGAAAAATGGAAAAAGAGCTATCGGGCGGTGATTCAGTTTTTGTTTTTGGAAGGGAAATCTCACAGCGAAATCAAAGAACTCTTGAATTATATGTAAGGTGACTGTTTTTGTTTGATAGGACCGTTAAAAATTGGTTTAACGAGTTTCACGTGGTTGAGCGTCGGTTTTTGATAATCCACGCTCGAATGAACAATATTGGCAAACAATCGATTGAAGGTGCTCGAGATAGCTGAGATAGTAGGTATCTTAAAAGACTACGTGTTTATCCTTTATGAAATTTTGGGCATAAGAAATCTGTCGGTCAGGTGGATGCCGCGTTTGCTTACTGCGGACAATAAGCACAACCGTGAGACCACTTTTAAGTAGTCTTTAAAGCTATTTAAGTGCGAAGCGAAGGAGCTTTTGCTCGTTCGTAACCAAAATATTGATTACTATTACACACCAAAGACAAAGGAGCAGTCGAAATAGTGGATTTTACCTGGAGAACGTGCTTCGAAGAAGGCAAAAACTATCGAAGGTGATAACCACCGTTTTCTGGTATTGATAAGGTGTGATCTACATTTACTACATGAAGAAATGTAAAACGGTGAAAGGGCTCTAAGATGTAGAAATATTGGTCTGAATTGCAGAATGGAATGCAACTATTCAACGAAGAAACAAGTCCACCGTAACAACGTACCGGTTCACACATTCGGCGTCGCCGAAAAATACTTCGAATTGGGCTACAAATTGCTGCCATATCCACGGTATTGTTCAGATTTGACCCAATGTGACTTCTTGTTGTTTCCAAACTTAAAAGTCACTTGTCGGACTGAAATTTAAGTTAAATAAGGAGGACATCGCCACCATGGGAATATACTTTTCAAACCTCGATAAAACGTATTTTGCAGACAGGTTAAAGAATTTGGAGCGTCGCTGGGTTCGAGCTAAAAAGAGAAGTGTATCTAGCTAAAAGGAGACTATGTTGAGAAATAAATTCTCACCACCTTTTTCCAAAATTTTTGTTTTTCATTTGCACACTAAGTATTTATCTGACTCTCTTTGTAGAGGAGTTCTTAATGAGATGATAGAGGTTAAGGTTCTTAAAGAGATTTTTATACAGAAGATAAAATGTCATAAGGCAACTTTCCCGATTTAAAATCCCTGGAATGAGTAAGAAATTAAGTTGAAAGAATAAAAAAAATGATAAGTTATGTCCAAAAATAAATTAGAAAAAACAAACTATTAATTTAAACAAATGTTACATGTATATACAGAGTGTTTCAAAAAGGTATGTCATAAATTAAATTACGCATTTCGGGGACAAAAATAAATTTATTGAATCCAACTTACCTTTATACAAAAGTGTATACAAAAAAAGTTACAGACCTTTGAAGGTATAAAATAAAAATTGTTTTTTTTGCACTATCTCCAGACGTGCAGCGAAGAGCGTAGCGACGAGCAGCGAAGCGTGCTTTGGTGGAGGCAATCGACCTGAACGCAACGGAGCTTGTTAGCTCCGGGTGAGTAAGACACCCAGTTTGCACAGGCCTTTGTCCTTCAACAAAGTGAAAAGCGGATGCGGGGCTATTTTTAAGTTAAACCGCCGAGGGGTTGCCTTTATAGGCTCCTCGCGGAGGCTTTTAATAGCTTCGTGTCAGCGAAAAATACGGGTTCATCTCAGTGGGTCGACAGGTATGACACTGTAAGGCCTAGTTTTGAAATCTAGGTCGGACAGAAACGGCCCCTGCCTCTGAGGTGAGAGAAACTTGAAGAGGATCCCTCCCTGAGAAATCAGGGAGAGAACTACCGAGAGGTTGCTGGGACGACACCCAGGAAAACCGTCAGGCAGCGGCCAGGCGGAAAGACAAAAACAGAGTCTTCAGAGTAGCAAACTCAATATAGTCTTTTGAACACTTATGTTCACTGCCTTACGGCATTATGAGTGATCCCTCTCCCCAAAAAAGTGATGTCACGCAGGTGACATCACAAGAAAAAGATGATGATGACAATTCCAAGTCACCCACCCCGTCAGTTACATCTGCAATTAAATTATATAATGAATTTACTTCAAATTTAAAACCCGAATCCGCGTTAATCGTAGAGACTTCAGACGACGAATCGTTCATCCCGGACGAAGAAGATGCCGAAGAAGATGAAAGCGAGGTGGAAACAGACGACAGCGTCTCGATCACCATGGAAGTTACCCTCGACGAAGAGCTGAGCCCGGCCACCGAGTCGATTGTAGCCCCGCCCCCAACAAACGATGAAATAGCCCCCATAGTGGACATCATCTCCACCGCAACTAATGCCGAGCCGGAGGTAGGTAGGAAGAAAAAACGGCAAAGGCCAACCGCAGACTCCTCAGAAGACGAGGAAGAAAGAAAAAGAACAAAGGAAAAAGACGAAAATGAGCTCTATAAGTCGGTAGATCTACTGACCGAACAGATCAGACTGCTCAAAGAAGAGAGCCGTCAAAGGGAAAAACAAGCAAATGCCCAAATACAAGACCTCCTAACTCAGATGACTGAGTTACGGAAAGAAAACAAGGCAAAGGACGAAGAAATCAAGAAGCTGGTCGGCCATATAATGGCTCTGACCGAAAGAAATGAAAGGAAAGAGCTAGAAGAAAAGAGAAGAGACGAAGTCATCTGGGAAATAACCAGACCAGGAAGCCCACCCTGGATGGGAATCGCCGCCCCTTCTACGTCTGGTTGCGGAGGAAAGCCAAAAGAACAGAAGGTAATACAAGAAAAAGAAAAAAGCGAAGCAGGATGGACAAAAGTCCAAAAAAAGGAAAAAACAAAAGGCACCGCTACTGAGAAATCAGTCAACAGTAGCGAGAAACCGAAAAAGGCACTGAGTATTGTTGAGAAACAAACTCAGAAAATCAACGAAAGAAAAGATGAAGCGCTCACAAAAGCTGCTAAAGAAATACAAAAAAGAAGTGAGCAGAAAAAAGCCCAGAAAAACTTGGAGGTACCGAAAGAACCTCAAGTTGATAAAGAAAACGTCGTTGACCCTCAGATACCTGCAGAGGTTAACGTTAAGAGACCTAAACCTCCTGCGATCATCTTAAAGACGGTCGCAGAACATCAAGCGATCCTGCAAAAAGCAGCAAAGAAAGGTATCGTTTCTGACAATAAGTTTGCCAGATCTGGCAGATCTATTGTCATTAACACCAAAACTAGGGAAGATTACCTAGGAGTAGTCAAAATACTTGAAGAACACACCCCGAAGGTAGAGTACGTTGCCTACCCGATAGACAGCGACAAATTAAAGAGGGTAATCCTAAAAGGGCTAGCGGCGAGCACAAGCACCGAACTTATTCTTAATGAATTAAGAAATAAAGATGTCGACGTAACTAGAGTCAGTAACATGTACTCTAAAAAAGAGGGAAAACCAATACTGCCTTTCTTTATGATCACCCTCAAAGAGGATGACATACAAAAAATACGCAAAATAACAAACTTGTGCTACATGAAGATTCGTTTCGAAGACGAAATCAAGACCACAAAAGATACCCTACAGTGTTTCAACTGCCAGGGTTATTACCACAGTTCAAAGGCTTGCCACTGCGACTCCAGATGTGTAAGGTGTGGTGAAAACCATCTCAGCAATGAGTGCGGAAAAAGCAAAAAAACGGCTCCAAAATGCGCCAACTGCGAACAGGCGCATACGGCCAATTACAGAGGATGCTCAAAAGCTCCTAAAAAGAAGACCCCTGCCTCCGTAAAACCGGCGGGCAGACCACTCAACCCAACAACAACAACCACGGGTTTCAGCTACGCACAAGCAGCCAAGAAAACCCCAGAACAAGCGGCCCCAACGATGCAAGACGCAGCAGCACTCATTGCCACATTCCAGACGGAATACAATAAGAAAATGATGGAGATGATGTCCGTGATGGATAGGGCCACAAAAATGATGACTAAAGCTCGGATTTATAGGCAACAAAAATTGAAGAAAAAGGCGCCTATATAGGCAAAGATTTTTATTAAAAAAGGCAGGAATATTAACATTTAGGCAAAATATAGGCAATAAAGGAATATAACTTATTATTTATTGTACAAAGTAAATTAACGTAATATTAACTTAAGGCAAGTATATTTACACATCATAATCATAACATTAGTATAAATAAACTAGTAACTAAATAACTGTTAATTAATAATTAAACATTGTAACCACTTAAAATTTTATCATTAATAGAAACAACTAAATGTTTTTCAATATTTTCGGTCTTAAAACTATGTCTTCGATCACTTAAAATTAATTTGTACATTGAAAACGAACGTTCGACATCGACAGATGTA